TTAAAACTCAGCTTTGACATTCAAATATCCCAGGGTTACCTTTGCATTCCAATTTATTACAAATGATGGCTTTTTGCTCATTTTTCCTATCGGCAAATTTTAGTTTTATTTTCAGTGAGAAGCAAAACAAGATACTCAGGTAATAATGGAGATCAAAGAAGAAATATTAAACTGAAAACAGGCTCCTGAGGTTGGTCTTTGTCTACTGACTGTGTAAGTGAAAACCTGTAGGCTAACGTGTGTGGTGTTAAAACTGTCGGGGATGCTTTTCTGGGTTGTTTCACCTTCCTGAAGGAGCCATAATAAGTCAGTGTGAATACAGGTTAACTTAATCCTGATTACTCGAAGGAAATCCAAAACCGTCTTTGCTCAACTTGTTATCTTTCTTCAGTACAGTCATTTAATAATGACTAAACAAACCCAGTTCCACACTAATCATAGTCTGTTCCCATGAGAACAACTGAGCTTATTATACCACAGACTGAGTACATGGTGCTGCCAATGTGTCTCCAGGTAGACACATTAACAGCTTTAATTAACAAGCCTAACAATTCATGACTGTTGTATGAGCCAGTCAGCTGCCTTTTCTCACCTGCTATGAAGAAACATATTCTTCAGTTACCCACATTAGCATGTGCTCCCTACATCCCCCCAACATCTACTGATTGCACATTTTTATTTATTTTTTCAAAAATGTAAGAAATTTGACATGTTGAAATTTCTTCCAGTGCCCTCAGCCAGTATGACCCGCCTAGCTCGCTCCAGGACGGCTTCCCTGACCAGCGGTGGCTCCGTTGAGGGATCCCGCTCACGAGCCTGCACCCACTCGGACAGCACTGAGGGAGTCGGCGCAGTCACCCATACCATGGAGGTGTCCTGCTGAGAAACCACAGGAAGAAAGAGGGAGGGAGGAAGTAGAGGGATGGAGAGAGAAACAGTGAGGCGGGCTGTGCAAACAAGAGGTGGAGTTGAGAGGTAGTCAGGTTTGATGGAGAGGGATAGTAATATTTGAAGACAGCTCTCTTTGTCTTCATCTACGTCCTCCGGATCCCCGTGTCTGCCATTTTCTTCCCTCCCCCACTGTAAAATTGCATATGTAACGCTACTTTAACACCCTAAACACATTTAAATATCCACCTCAATTTAATTCTCCCACCACTCAATGATTTAGCATTTACTCTTGAAGTGTCATTCTTGTGTTTGCTGAGTGTGGCCTCATTCTTTGCGTGCACCCTTTCTAACCTCCCACCCCCCAAACACACGAAACAGTAATTCTGTCAACAGTCCATACTGAAATATGCTGTAAAGAGCTAGTGATGAAATCTGAGTACGAGCTGGTAAAAGTGCAGGACATAGCAATGAGAGCAGTACTTTTATGGCGTGTTTTCTGTTTTTATGTGACAGATTGTGAGCATCTCTCTCTGTGAAGTTTGAGAATCATGCGGGGGGGTGTCCAGAATTAGGCAGACGGCAGAACACAGCGTGTCATAGCCGAGTGCACCTGTAGCGCTAGAGAGGATTTGTAAGCATAGTTAGAGCTCACAACGCTGCTTCAAAGCTGCACTTGGTAAGACCTTATTTCAAATGGGTGAACTATAAGTAGATTGAAACAGTGCGATATCGTCAGCATATGCGCCGACTTATCTCCATTGATGCATTTACATTAAAATATTAATAGTCCAGGTTTATAACAGCTCAAACTTTGATATAATAAGCTATCTTTCAGGCTGTCTGTGCTTCTGCATGTGTAGTATCTGAGACATATTCTGAGGCTCATTACCTCAAAACAGGAAATTACACGCGGGCCGCCAGTCACAAGCGCACCAAAACCTAGCCACTACACCACCAGGGAGCTTTATCAGTTTATCTGCTTTACCTTCTTCTTTTTGCCACAATAATATTTACATTAACGTCTTTGAGTCATCTTGATTTTGCGTGAGAAGACAATCTGGAGCTGTTTGGTATCAAATGAGCCAAAAATGATTTAAAAAACGTCAAATCCAATGTAGCCAATGTAGCAGCAAAGTTGTTGTGAAGCACTTGAAAAACACCTTCTGTGAAATCAAGTGAGCCTGAAACTATTAATATCTTACACTGCGAAACATGTAAATGCTTAATAAAGACGGTGGAAAATGCACCCATATGAGCAAAATACTTATATATAGTTTGCAAAGTGAGGAATATTAATGTAGCTATATGAGCTTGAAGTGCAGATTAACCTGTTTGTGTTAACGAGGAACTAGTCAGAAAGCTAGCATTTAAATTTCAATTGCATTTAAAAAATGGTTTATTCACAGGAAGCCCCTTTACACTCCCATCATGAGCAGGGCCGGCACAGGAACATGATGTTACAATGCATCAGCTCCAAAATTTCACTTGGAGCTACATTAGCGTAATACACCAGAGTGCAGCTTTAAGCCGCGTGTCATCTCACATTTCTCAGACAATCCACTGCATAATACTAGAATAGAAGAAGTATTTATTAACATGTATATGCATGTGAATGTGAAAGTAATCTTAGGGCATTCTAGTATGTAATTAGTTTCTAGCATTAGGGCATTCTTCATTAGCACCTTACATGTGGCTAGTTAAATAGAGCCATGGATGCAAACACCTTCATCAGCCTGCAGCTGTAGTGCATGGATGTGGTTCTCGCCATAGGCAGCTCTTTGTGGTCTCTTAAGATGACAATCACAGCCTGACTCAAACCAAACTTGACCAGGGAGGGGAGCTGAGGCAGGACCAGGCCAGCCCGACAAGTTCTCGTTTCTGGGTCGACGTCACAGAAACTTGCCTTCCCTTACAGCATCCAGCCCCTCTTTGTGGATATACCAAAGCTACCCACCCACACAAACACACACACACACATTTTCGCACATCTACTGAAGTGAAAGCTGCGTGGGCTGGATTTTGTAATGGAAAAAAAGGAATACACAAAATTCACATGCAAGATGGAATCCATTGCTATGTGGTTAGTGGGTGTTTTGATGTGCCGTGAAGCCACGATCTCACTGGTGTAGTGCAACATAGTGAGTATATATGTGTAGTTTTAGACTAGTGCAACTGTGTGCTGCAATCTGCTGTAATCCTGGACCACCTTAATAGCGATCAGGGATGGGCTCCCTTGGATTTTAGCTCATTAATGTACAGTATTCATGTACCATAGTCACCTTCGTCTGCTTTCAGTTTTACAGGAAAACCCTTTGGTCCCCTGTCAGAAGGGGCGTAGCTACCAATTGCTGAGGTGTGCACTTCCCTGAGGCAGCCTGTAAGGGGCGGGGCTTTTTTGGCGCCATTTGGGCTCCAAGCTCGGAATGTAGGGCAACCCCCAGCCACTTAAAAAAAACAAAAAAAAAAACCCTCCCTCTAAAAAAAATAAAATAAAATAAAACAAAAAAAATCACAAGGTGCCCCGGCTCTCACAGGCAAACCCAGCTGCACCCTAAAGGGCTATCAGCTGAAGTCACTTTTTAAGATGTCGGTAGTGTTTTAGTCATAGTTGTGAGCACCAGGGGGCCCTAAAAAGCAACAGGCTGGGAATGAAAATGAGAAAATGCTCTATTTGTGTAAAGAGGAAGGGAAAAGATCATCACCAAAACACAGAGAGAGATTCTGACCTGAAACATGGCTGAATGAATGTTAAAGGAAAAGAATGTGAATCCGTTTAAGCTGGAGAGATTGTTGAACTGCTTGAAATATTCAGTAATGGTCTCAAAACGCAGAAAACGGGGATCAGATCAAAGACGTTCTTATAGAACCTCATCGGCCAACTTCACAAAAACTCAAGGTTGCATGTAGCAGATTTTGTGATCATTTTCACTGTTTCTTCTGTTCACTAAGCTATTTCCTGCCATCCTCCTACATGATTCAAACTGCCTGGGGGGGCTCCTGAATGTATCTTGTCCCTTTTTGAAGTGCTGTACAGTATTGTCGACCCACACCTCATCCTCACCATGTTTTCCATTTCTTTTATCTTTGACATTTAACCGTGTACATGAAAACCCATCTCCTATCTGCTCCTTCCTCTTCGAGGTCTTTAAATAGTGAAGTTGAATTGTGAAAGTCCACAGGTCCTGTAAGCTAGCGCTGGATCAGTTTGTATAGACCTTGGTCCTCCTTGCACTTGTAGATACTTCTTATTTATAGAGCGGGTTACCCCAACCGAGCACTCTAACATTACCGTATTGTGAGAAAATGTATTTCTTTTCCTCTTCTCTTGGAGATTTTTTTTAAAGACAACAATAGGGTGTAACCTCTTCTTGGTATTTTATTGGTTCGTGTGCTAACACTATTTCTCTTCTTACTGCCATTATGACCAATTTGTATTAAGCAATAAGTTCTTTTTTCTCATTTGGATCGTTTCATATTGTGGGAGTCTTCCCTCTGAGCTTGTTTCTATTCACAACAGTAGGACTCTTACCGACTTCGTTGTCATCCAGATGTGTACTGTAAAGTTTAAATATATTATATAAATACATATACAAAGTAAACTGTCTCTGTCAATGTACTGATCAAGTAACAAGTGAGAAATAAAGACTTTACGTCAGAATTTTACGACTCAGGTGTTTTCTGTCACGTTTTGGGTGCATGGGAAGCCTAATAGAGAGACGCCCTTAGACACCAAAAATGTGGTTAATATAGAGCAGCTCAAGGTTCGAGGTTCTCTTCATAACCAGCGCGCAATGTTGCGGTTATGATGCCAGAGGCCACAGGGTGAAGTGTGGTTTGAGGCCTGTTCTCATACAAGCTTGCTCTCTGTGCGCAAGCTAGCTTTGGCTAGCAGTCTATGTACTGTACACCTGAGTAATGGGAACATATACCAGATACATACAATGTAGGCAAGTAATAAAATATTCAAAGTAGATCATCTCATTAAAACGTTTGAAAATAATGTGAACATACATTTGGAAACTGTTGGGTCTGTCTAGCACAGGCCCGCCGCTGGAACGAGACAATTTAACTACACAGCAAAAGCATTGAACACCAAGTAGGCAAAGTTCTTCGTGTTACTCATGCATGAGGGAGACCTGGAGCCAAGTGTCGTTCCACCCACTTGACCTCCGTCAGACTCTCAGCCAGGTTCCCCATAGCACTCCTTTTATTGAACTCACATGAATATACATGGGTTCATTAACATGTGACATCTACATACACACAAAGAGTACCTTGCCTGTGCGTTGTGTAAGATGTGATGTGACCCTGTGAAGACTCCCCAAAGCTGGTGCCAGGAGTCTAGCGGTCCATCTAAACAAAAGGCACTTAGCCTAAAACTGACATAGCTACGTTTATCCTACCATAAAACAATAAGAGAAGGTATGCCGCTCCCAGGATGTAGGTGTGAATGCCAGAACACTCCGGAATGCACACCAAGCCTTTGCAGACTATTGAGGATCAAACCTCTACCAACATGACATTGATTATAACACTCTAAGCATATATGAGTAGATATTTCTAAGCATAAATGACAATCAACAATACAAATCTAACAGAAACTTGTAGTTTGTAAACTTGTAAATCAAATATTTTGAAGGTGGAGAGAAGAAGGGTCAACTGATGTTGGAGATGAGGGAACTATTAGGCAAAATATCAAGTTATTTCTGCTACAGAAGACAATACCCAGTACTGAGGCCTTGTCTGCTGAAGGATATTGCATCTTTGTATAATATTGTGGAAATACCATACCTTGTGGTCTTTAAATATTTCTAATTTTCAGAAGTGAGATGTGTTTGACAGTTGAACTGACTTCCTGATGGAGTCGTATAATATACCCATGACGTGGATTTGCTCAAGCTTTCCAAAGCTGCCCACATCTTTCTTTACGTCTGAGTTGTTCTTTACTCTTTTTGTAAAGCTGATGTCAGTTAAATTCTACACTTCCTATACAATTATTTGATCTAAATTTAAACCAGTAGCTCCATGTTGACTTTTGAAACATAGCCTGAATATAACACTGAATAAAAACACACCAGAAGTGAATGATTTTAATTAATTGAAGGAAAACAGTAAAAAGAAAGAGACAACAGTAAATTGGTTTAGTATATAAATTGATAATGCATATTGTGTATAGTGTGTGTCATTTTTCAGGAATTCAATGCTTGCTTTTATTCTTTAGTAACTATTACTGGAGTCAGTATTTAGCTTCAGGACTGATTATCCAGTAACTCAAACTGCACCTTGTAAGAGACCATGTAGGAGTCACAGTAGGCATGAAGCATCTGGTCCACAGGGCTGTAGTTCAGGGCTTGAATGTTAGGAGCCAACTTCTTCATGAAGATGCCGACGTTGAACCTCTCCTGTCGCGTCACGGGGTTGAAGGAGTAAAAGATCTCCTCGACCTCTCGGTTGACGTAACGTGTGGCGTAGAGGACGCCGCAGGCCATGAAGGTGTTGGTCACTGCCTGCTTGTAGACTGAAGTGTGCCAGGTTTGTCCGAGCTTTGGTGGTTCACCCTCTTCCACCTTGGACAGAACCAAGTTGCCAAAGTCCTGGGTGGTGGTGTAGACCACCCAGATGCCAGACTCATCTGTTGCCAGGTCCAGGTCAGTGCATTGGTAGCATTCCTCAAGGTTGCAGAAGTTACCCTTTGCATTGTATCTGATTAACAGAGGACAGAAATGAATGTTTTACACCAAAAAATGTCATGTTTGTTTATATCTTAAAGACCTGTACTTTATGGTTTCTCCTTTTTAAAAGAATATATTTCCCATGAGAGAGTTTGCAAAACTAATATTTATACTGAATATATACTAAAATATGAGTAAAAAGAGTATTTGCTATTCTTGTTATAAAAATAAAAACTGTATTTATTATCTTTATTACAAAATAACCATTTTTAAAAACAGAGTTAAGTGAATCAACCTGGTTCCTTTGGGTAGATCTAAGGTGGTAACAATTTTGGAAGTGAGGTTGAAACAACAAACAGCATCCTTGTTGTAACAGTTGTAGTACAAAGCGCCTCCATACAGAACATTATTTGGACCTTGGATGGTGTTGGTAGTTGGATTCGAGGGGTGGATCTGGACGTTACCTGAAAAAGGAAGAAAAAGCTAAAAACTGACAATCTTGATTAAAAAACAAAACCTATTACATTTTATGATACTGTTTTTCTATTATCTACAAAAAAAATAATTGTGCTTTTTTGGTGCGTACATCTTTTCATTGGTCTTTGATTATTGTTTAATTTATTTTCAGCATCACAAACATTCTCTTGTGTGTCAATCCTCTGCTGAAATTAGCCTCCAACAAATTTGAAGTGTATTTTCGTCTGACCCAATGTTGCTAAAACCAGCAGTGCCTAGCTTTTTAAAAAGTTAAAGGATTGACTGAATTTTCTTTAAAATTAGTTACACCTTCACGGTGAACCTTTAGATTTGGTGCTGAGATTGTCAGGAAGAGAGCCGGATTTTGAAAGTATCGGAAGATTTCACATGACTCATGCTGTGTTTAAAAAAAAAAAAAAAAAAACTACTGAGAGACTGGAGGAGTTTACTGGAGTCACTATCTACAAGTTACTTTTAGACTGGCCGTATAGACAGAGCAACGTGATTAGGGATGGGTATTGATAAGATTTTCATGATTCCGATTCCATTTTCGATTCTGTTTAACGATTCGATTCTTTATCGATTCTTTTTAAAAAAGGAGAACACTGAGGTCGAATAGCTTAGAACTTTGCTTTATATCTTCTCTTTGAACAAGATAAAAATTTAGAAGTAACATGGCCTGGGGTAAATTTACTCAGTATAAATTAATACACAGATGGTACTTCACTCCGTCCAAACTTTATAGAATGGGAATCAGTCCCAGTAATATATGCTGGAAATGTAGTTCAGATCCAGGGACATTTATGCATGCT